GTCGGACGCTTAACCGACTGCGCCACCCAGGCGCCCCCTAACAGCTATTTCAAAAATAGATTGCGTGTTCTCTTTTAATTGTGTAGCCAAGATCCACTCCAATAGAACCGAGGTTATAGTCCAGAAGAAAAAGACTCCCTGTGTGTCTGTTCCCTTTTAGGAATAAGGACTACATGAATGAATGCCCTGTGGGCTCTGCCACTGGAGTCCTTCACAGAACTTAGCTTTCCTGATTGTCAGACAGCAAAAAGACATTTTTGGGGGGTTTTTTTGCTTTTCTCGCATTGACAGAAGTTTTAAAAATGTTTTTTCAATGTTTCTATTCAGTAAACACATTATTCACCGTGTGAGCAGGGGAGGGGCAGAGAGAGAGGGAGACACAAAATCAGAAGCAGGCTCCAGGCTCTCAGCTCTCCGCACAGAGCCCGACTTGGGGCTTGTACCCCCCCCCAACCACAAGAGATCATGGTCAAAGTTGGACGCTTAACCGACTGAGCCACCCAGGCACCGCGATAGAATTTTTAAATTTGGGGGATACACAAAAGATTTTTTTCTCTGTGTTACTGTTGTTGTTTCCGAAACATTGGGAGCTTTTGTGCTTTCTGATGAAATAACAAAATGCTCTCTCTTTTGTCTCTTTTTTCCCCAGCTGACCTGAATAATGTCAGGTTCTCAGCTTATAGGACCGCCATGAAGCTCCGAAGACTGCAGAAGGCCCTTTGCTGTGAGTATTAACCAGTGCTTGGAACACTTGACGTTCGTCTTGGCTTTAAAAAAAAAAAAAAAAAAAAGTGGGACCAGGGGTATTTTCACTTGCAGAGGGGGAGAAATAGCTATCACACGTCCAGCTGCAACATAGATTTCCCTTTAGTAAGGTGTCTGGCCTCATGTGCCCCTAGACTACTTTGTGATATTGTCTAGAGTCTCTCCTGTGTCACCGTTCCTTGATTGGACAAGGTATTTGTACGTTTTGGTCCCAGCTAGTGACACTGGCATCCAGGGTTACCTTTCCGAACCTTGAAATCTCTCTCCCTCTTCTGCCTTTGTTTCTCTTTCTTCTAAACGATATGTCGTAGTAGAAGTCAATAGCTGCATATTAGCCCTGCCGCATTTTGTAGGTGTGAGTAGATTATTAGCTTGACTGCTAATGTTCCGATGAATGATGTGATGATAAAAGTACAGACGACGGGCTAGTTTCTCTGCTTCTGCTGAGCATCCCACGTCCGTGGGGAAATCGTGGCATGTCATACGGCTCTGTGTCTTCGTCTCGTAGTTTATTTATACCTCTCCGCTGTCATCAAGGTGAGGTAGAATATATTGTTTGAGGGCCCGTGTGCACTGATGATAGAACCATGGGAGAGACAGGCACAGGCCCTACCTGGATGGCACTCGTAGCCTCATGAGGGAGACCCAGGGGGTCCATGAGAGGCTGGAGACATAGGTGAATGAATAGAAGATCGTCGAGAAGGGGCACAAGCGGTAAAAGAAAAAAACAAAACCATGCTGTCCCGTTTCTAGTTGCACACTTGATGGGCACCTTGAGGAACAGTGAAGAGACCGTTTCAAAGTCCTGTATTTATGTGACAGGAGACTAGGGGTACTATGAGAACAGCTAGTTGTGGGGGTGAGCTTTTGCTTGAGGAAATGGTGGCTAAGCTCTGTGAGTCCAGAAGGATTAGTCCCGCTTGCTCTAGGAGTGTTTGAGTTGGAAGGACTAGCATGTGCTGATGTATTCAGGAACTGAACACACTGGAGCCTGGCTGAAGCATAGAGTCCCAAGAAGGGGCTATGGTGAAACATTTGGCCGGAGACACAGGTGGGGGCAGATGGTGAAAGGCTTTTGAAACTTACGTAGAGCTTAGAGGTCAATGGGGAGCCACGCAAGGGGATGACATGGTAGGATTTTCATTTAGAAAGGTCATTGTGCCTGTGCAGTCGAGTGTGGGTTGACCGAGCGGGTTGTGCACCTGGCCAGAGAGACTGGTTGAGCAGTTGTGGTGCTCTAAACTGGCAACGTCGTCTGGGGCGCCTGGGTCGCTCAGTCGGTTGAGTGTCCGACTTCAGCTCAGGTCATGATCTCACGGTCTATGAGTTTGAGCCCCGCGTGAGGCTCGGGGCTGACAGCTCGGAGCCTGGAGCCTGCTTCGGATTCTGTGTCTCCCTCTCTCTCTGCCCCTCCCCTGCTCACGCTCTGTCTCTCTCTGTCTCAAAAATAAATAAAAACGTTAAAAAAAAAATTTACACTGGCAACATGGTGGCCTGAATGGATGCTGGAGTAATGGAGAGAAGTGGAGACAATGGAGAAATACTTAAGAGGTGAACGTGACAGGCCTTCGTGATGTACTTAATCAGGTGGGTGAAGGGGACCCAAGGAAGCTACTAGGTGCTCGCTTGGGCGAACGGTGGCCCTGCCCGGTGAAGGGGGTGGGGGTAAAGCTGTGCTACTCAGCGGAGATAGACAAATAATATTTAGGACTCATCAGCCTGTAGATGTTTAGGGAGAGTGTGTAGATGGAGAAGAAAAGAGTGTTTACGACAGGGGACGAACAGTGTGCAGAGGGAACTGCAGAGGAGAGGCCCGCGGGGGAGAAGGAAGATCCCAGGAGCGAGAGGGCCGTGTATGGTGTGGAGGAAAGAAGTGGCCGGCTACTGGGGGGCAGATGTCGATGGGAGGCCAGCATGGAGTTGGCACAAGTGCCCTGTGGATTTTGCAGCAAGGAGTCGGTTGCTCCAGGGAGGTTGTTAGAAGCGTGGGGGAGGTGGTGAAGTGGTCTCAAAAGTACGTGCAAAGGGGACGAAAAGATGGTTGTCATGGCCAGTTCTTGGAGACACTTACTTTGAAGGAGATAGGACGAGGGGTGGTAGTTAGCTGGTCCGGACAGAGTACATGAAGTGGGCGTACTGAGAAGTTGAGAGACACTTGAGTCTAGTTACATATGTATTTATTTTGAGAGAGAGAGAGAGGGCGAGAGAGTCCCCAGGAGGCTCTGCACGGTCCATGCGGAGCCCAGCATGGAGCTCGATCTCACAAACTACGAGATCGTGACCGGAGCGAGGTCAAGAGCTGGAGGCTTAACCAGTTGAGCCACCCGGGTGCCCCCGAGTCCACTGAGGAGGAGAGGCAAGGATGAGATAAGAAACAATGGGAGTTCTGGGAGCCTAGGGGAGGTAACGTGGGATCCAAGAGAAGGAATGGGCACCTCTCTGCTGCTGTAATGGGGGGTGGCGAGGAAGGGATCTGTGCAGGTCCGGGTAGCTAAGGAGACCCAGCGGGGGGAAGCTGTGGGAAGCCACGTAGAGGTTTGTTTTCTCTCTGCTGCGATGGGGAGCCGAAGGCGAGAGGGTTGTGGGTGGGTTCCCGGTTCTGGAGCGTTGGCGAGAAGAGGGTCAATGTGAGCAGCAGCATTAGGAGCCCGGTCTGCTCGGTGTTCTGCCCCGGTACCCGTCTGCACGGCTGTGGCCTTTGTCCCGGCTCGCTCAGTACTCGGGGGCCGGGTGGGTCCAGCCCAGGTGGGCAGAGGACAGCTGGGCAAGAGCAGTGAGGATTTGGGCAAAAGAACGATTCAGTGGTTGAAGGGATGTCTGTCGAGGCCACGTTGGGGCAGAGGAGCTGTGAATTCACGTGCAAGCTGGTCATCGGGAGGGAGAAGGATCAAGAGGCTGACCGTTGGGGGAGCTCGAGGAAGAGCTGGTGTGGAAGTCCCTGGAAGGCCGAGAGGCTGTGGTCGGAGAGGAGCATAGCTAAACACTGTGGAACAAGTCCAGGTGACTAGGTCCAGGCTGTGACCGCCTGAGTGGGTGGAGTAGATGTGAACTTGCAGGGAGGTGAGGCAAGAAGGGCCAACACATCAGCCCCGCCCATGTTGGGGTCTTCCGGAGGGGGGCCAGGACTGGGGAAGAGAGAGCTGTGAACCTGGGCTGCTGAGTCTTCAGAAATGAAGGCGCCTGACCCTGGGGTCTGCAGAGGCTCTCGCAGGCGGTCCAGGAGCGTCGCTGGCATGTGGCTTGGTCCCCAGAGATGAGGAAGAACTGTCCCAGAAGTGAATTCCCCGGCAGGAGAGCGTCTGTGTTCCTCTTTATCTGGGCCTCTCCGGTGCTTAGCACGAAGCCTGGCACACAGTATGATTCAAGATGTTTTTTCATGGAATGGATGCATGAACAGAAGTAAATTGACGCTTCCATTTCCTTGTAGCTTATAGTCTGAAGCTGTCACTTTTCAGCTACATAGCTGCCAAGTTTAAGTGGTTTTTAAAGGGCTCCCCAGGCCTGGGATTTCCTCCGGGACCTGTTAATGTACCATAGCTGGAAAGAGGTAATGCTTTCCATTGGTAAAGGGATAATTATGAACCTGTTACTCTAAAGGTTTTATAGTATATAGTGTATTTCTGGGAGGTCCTAAAAGTCACACTCTGAAAAGGCCCCAAAATAGGCGAGATGGGAAACCTCATACTGACCGTCTCTTTCCGTAACGTCGCTTTGTACCTCGGATTTAGACAGTCTGCGCTTCTCCTGTTAAATCATGATTCTCTTCACAAATATGTCTCATTTTCTGTCAACTTCAACATATGTCAAAATTTCCAATAAATGTTGGGAAAGTGGGGGAATTTGATACGAGAAAACAGTCCGGCCGCTTGAGGTTATAACCTCGTAGTGAAGTTAAGCTCCGAGTGTCGGATGTGGACTTTCCACTTGTAAACAGATTTGAAACTCTCAGCCTGTCCTTTCTGAGCACGACTTTTGTCCTCTTTGAAAAAAGGTTGCGGGGTAGCCCAACGAGGGTGTATTTATCTCAGTTAATTGCTGGATTCTCATACGTGGCTGGAGGGTTCCACGTGTGGTAGGGCTATAGAATGAAGAGAGTGCCTCTCCCTTCCCTATGGAAAAGCTCTGTGGTCACAGTACTTAACTAACTGATCAGTAGATGATTTAAGAATTTCCTCTTCACTCGCTGTTTGCTTAGGTTTATCTTCCTCCCGTGCTGTCATCTCTGTGCCTGGAAAGCCATGAGAAAGGGCTACTGTCTGTGGAACAGGCAAATAAAACTTGTCCTGGCTAGCTTTTCCAACCAGAGGTCGCTTCTGCCAACTTTTGCTTTAATGAAAATTAATGGTGTTATCTCAGGGATCTCCTGATGCCAGTGGAGAGTTGGAATTACGGATGCCTTAGGAAATAGGCAGTGCTACCTCCATTAAAGCACTTGGTCTTCTGTGTTTTTTCACTTTATTATCAAAGCGCCAATATTGCAGAAACCCGAATAACACACTTGTATCCACCATAGAGCATTTGCTGTTTAAGTTGGGAGCTTCACCATCGGCGTATAATGTCCCCAGTTTGTAATCGGTTTAATGTTGCATGACTCCATAGTGCCTTTCGACGCACTGTGAATGAAAATTAAACTCGAAGGAAAAGCAGAGACAAAGAGAAAATCTTGGTAAGAGGGATTTATAAGCTGGTTCATACGGCCAATACCCACCCCCTCGAAAGTTTGGAAGAAGATCATCTAAGCTTCTTCTCAGTCTTCTGTTCTCGTGACATCCTTTAGGTGTGTGGCTTCTAAAATTAAAAATATAGCCAACCTCTAAGAGCAGAAAGAAAACAAGGCGCTTCCCAAAGCACACGTATTAGTTGATGAGCGTGTGGTGGGTTGGAGAGAGCCCAGACCATAAGGCTAAATATACTGCAGTTGATAAATGTGACAAATATTCTGCAAACAAGAAATCGAGA